AAAAAAAAAAAAAAAAAAAACGACAAAATAAAAAAAGTACGATAGAAATCGAACGACAACGATCGAACGTCATCCGCTGGTCGAATCAGCTTTTAGCTCGATCAGTACTCGAAAAAAAATTCAGACTTTATTCCTTGGAACGTCGCTTAAACGTATATTTCAACAGGCAGGAGGATTGGCTGGTACGTCCGTCGACGCGATACTACATCCGTTAGATACGTTAAAAACACGTTTGCAATGCAAGCAGGGATTCGCAAAGTCCGGAGGATTTTCCAATCTTTACAGAGGAATTCTTCCCGTTGTCGTCGGATCTGCACCCAGCGGTAATAACACAGCGTACGATACAAAGTCGTATTAATTCTCAAAGATACACGCGTCTACGTACGAATTAAACGTTTGCCACGCTTTAGCATCGCTATTTTTCTCGACGTACGAAGCTGTCAAGAGTAGAACGCGATCCAAAGTACCTGAGAAATATCATTGCTTGCTTCACACGTGCTCGGCATCTCTGGCAGAAATGGTAACGTCTCGAGAGAAAAGGAACCGCAACGAAAAGTTAATTTCTAATCGTACATTGTGCAATTCGAACAAAGGTAGCCTGTTTGATAAGAGTACCCGTAGAAGCAATCAAACAGAGGAAGCAAGTTTCAATGCCAGATAGACGAGAGATCAATCTTAGAATATTGTATCACGGTTATTGGGGCACCGTGCTGAGAGACGTGCCTTTCAGCGCGATACAACTTCCGATCTGGGAATGTTTCAAGAAAGTTTGGAAATCGCACGTCGACAGAGAGACTCGTCCAATAGAAAGTGCAACGTGCGGAGCAATCGCAGGTTCTAAGCTTTATCGTTACTCGTCAAAGTTTCGCTCGACGTGCATTTAACGCTATATCCAGACAGTATTTCCGCCACCGTTGCTCGAGATGTAATTAATTCCATCGTTCTCAGGTAGTATCTCCGCTACTCTTACCACGCCGCTGGACGTTGCAAAAACAAGAATAATGCTTTCGCACAGAAACGAGAGTGCTTCGAAGTTGAAGGTGCCGTACGTGTTGAAAGACGTGTACAGGGACAAAGGTTTTCGCGGGTAAGGTTTCTCCGGGACCAATTTCACTCGCAACGGATAATTTTTGAAATTTTTCGTCGTCGAGTCGTCGAGATTCGTCTTTAAAATTACAAAACTTTGTAGACTTTTCGCCGGTGTGGGCCCCAGAGTAACGTGGATAACAGTCGGAGGGTTCATCTTCTTTGGAACTTACGAAGGAGTAAAGGCCGTAGGAACCAAGTACCGTTTATCTCCATAGAAGGCGTCTGAGAAAAGTCGGAATCGAACGATCAGTGACATCTGTAAACGTGGCTCGAACAAAAATTGTACGATCTCCCGATTATTTATTGTTACAAAATATACACGACAAGAGAGTATGTAAAAATATACATCGCGATAACTTTCAAAGACTCGCTATAAAAATTATCGGCATTCGTTTACCCGAGGGTGAACTTTAAAAAATCTGGAACGACACGTTTTTAAATATATTTTTACCCGGATCGTCGTACCGGATTCTCAAAGTTTAGACTTTAAAAGATTCATCAATTTTTCCAGCTTCATCACTTTCCGAAGATCTCCGCTAATTCGCAACTTTCCCATTACAAACGCCGACGTTGGCTTCAATTTTCCTAAACAAACGTAAATCGTTTTACGTCATTTCGAATTTACTCTTCGTAATCTGCTCGTTGCGCGGGTGTATTTTAATTACCGGAAAACATGGCAAAAAAGTTATCAGAATCCATCGTCAGCGTAGCATCTGGCGATCGTCCAGGTTCTCCTCTACCTGCCGAACCTTTGCCAGTTTTCAGATCCAAAAACCACGTACCAGCTTCGTTACCTGTCAACCGTCGCATCAATCGATACGGTTCCGGAAAGATACGGTATCTTACCTCGAGCTTACGTCTCATACCTTTAACGTTGAACTGAAATATGGCCCCTGTTTCGTCAACAAGATCGCTGTTCAAGTTTGCTCGAACAACTTTGAATATTCGCGCAATTTTTTCGTTCGACTCGTCGGCACTCTGCAAATCTTTTCGCGTCGCTTCGTGCAACGTACGATCTCGCGAACCTAGCGCCCTTAAATTTTCATCCACGAAGAAATCCAGCATCAAGTTGTCTTTATTCTCTAAGAAGAAGCAAACAAACAATCGTTAATTTCCGCAGTAACTTTTCACCGCGCTGTAAAAATTGTCGCGTCATATTTCGTTCAAAGCACACCTGGATCACACGCGTAATCCGCGAAATCGGTAATTCCTTCGTTCCTCAATATCTCCTCGTCGATGAGAAACTGTCCAGTGACAGATTTACCATCTTTGCAAATCAAAGCGTACACGGCATCTGCCATTATCTCGGGTTTACGGCTATAATTGCTCGATTCGGCGCCGGATAGCATCGCAACTGCGGCAGTATAAATAGCTGAAAGAGGGATATACATATAAAACTCGTCGTTAGACGACGCAGCAACAAACACAGCGACAGGGAAATAACGAAACGACAAGTAAAAGTAAACGATCTACCTGTCCTTGGCCACACGGTGTTTACAGCAATGCCACTGTCCTTAAATTCTTCAGCCATGCCGAGAGCGCACATCGACATCCCATATTTAGCTATCGTATACGCAACGTGATTCTTGAACCATATCGGTTTCATGCTCAACGGAGGGCTGATATTCACTATATGAGGATTTTTGCTCTTCTTCAAGTAGGGCAAGCACGTCTTAGACCTTAAAAACGGACATCACGGCGGCGTATCGTCACATTCGCGATCTATATTTACACGCACGATTGGCGGACAACTTTTATACTCACACCAGAAAAGTTCCCCTGGCGTTGACGTCATTCATAAGGTCGTACTTTTTCATGTCCGTGGATTCCGTGCCTGTCAAGGATATCGCACTCGCGTTGTTGACAACGACGTCGATACCACCAAACTTTTGGACGGCATTCTCCACCGCAGAAACTACTCGCGCTTCGTCTCTGACGTCAACGACGCAAGGCAACGCTTTTCCACCTGCTTGCTCGACTGAAACGAACAAAGAAATTGCGTCGTACGTTGAAACTTGGAACGACGCAATCGTTGCAATTACTCACTTTCTTCAGCAGCAGTATAGACAGTGCCTGGTAATTTCGAATGCGGTTCCGCGGTCTTGGCTGCGACGACAATATTTGCCCCATCTCTCGCAGCTTTCAAGGCAATGCTCTTTCCAATTCCCCTCGACGCACCGGTAACAAAGATGGTACGTCCGGCGAGCTTTCTACATCAAACACAAAAAACACAAAGTCGCGTAACGTCGTGCGAGATGCGAACAGTCGTCGGAGAAATACATTTACACTCGTTACGTTCGTTACATTCGTACGTACGAAAATATATTTTCATCGTACTTTACAAAAATATATAAAACGTAACGAGCGAAGCCAACGCGTATATTTTCTCCTCGAACATAACAAGATACAACGAAATTTGTAACCGAACGTACGATTAAATTTAGGTTACAAACTCGCGATACAGACCCAGTATTGATCATATTGCTATACCACGTACGTAGATCGAGGGACCGACACAAGTAGAAATACCGTCGCATCGACGATCGAACAAAAAATACGAAAGAAAAGATCGTTTCGCTCGAAACGACGCACAACTGCGCGACACAGTTTGGACGACTCGATTCGCGAACTTTGATCGATCATCGACGCTCGGAGGTTACCATTTCTACAACAACATGGCGGAAAACCTGCGTACAGGGCAACGAAACGCAACGTTCAAATTAAACTCCGTCGTTCCACATTTTTCTTTTTTTTCTTTCTTGTCTATTGACAATTTAAAACACGTTGGAGCAAATACCAGATCAAGAAAGAAATTTTTCAATTAAAAATTACCTCACCTTTGCGTCGTACGGTAAAGTGTACCGTCAACTGGAAACCGAGAATCGAACAGGTAGGTTAACCTAGAAAAACGAGACTCGTCAAAAAAACGTTGGGAGAGAAGTCGTTCGGTACGAAAGACGGTGTAACAGGATGCAAATTATCTCTTCAAATACACGATCGCGTCTAATCTCGAACGCAGTCGTCGATCGATCGGAGCATCTTTTCGGTGCAACCACAACGTCATAACCTAATCACAACCTACACGTACGTGTTTCTCGCGAGACCCGTCCCGCGTGGAAAACGAGGAAGGGCGCGCGTTCGCATCGTCCTCGTCTTTCACGCGACGAGCTCGCAAAATTAAAGCGAAAATACCGATCTCCTTGCCACAGATCGGGAAGAAGCGGACGGAAAATCGAGTGGAAATATTCCCGGATCGTTCCTGCACGAAGGAGTTGCGCGCAAAGGGTCACGTCGACGTTGACGCATCGACATGTGCGGAATATTCTGCAGCATTTCGCAAAACCGCGAAAAAGACGGCGTGCGAATTTCACGCGAGGTACCGAATCGTCGAATACACGGTACGATTACAATCGCATTTACGATCGACGTCATTGACGATACGATTCCTGGTGTTTCAGTGGGAAGCTTGCAAGAACTTGGTAACCGCTCGTGGTCCCGACAGAGTAACGGAAAAATTTGAGAATTTAACTCCAATCTGGTCCGGACACTTCGTCGCTGCCGTGTTATGGACGCAAGGTTCAGACTTGTGCGAACAACCTGCCGTAGATTCTGCCGGGAATATTCTTCTTTGGAACGGCGATATATTTTCTGGGAATTTGGCAAAGGTATACGACGCACGCGTACGAATCGCGCAGTAGCTGTATTTAACAGGTTAAAAAATTATCGCGAACCATCGCACGTTGTTGTTCGTACCAGGCCGAAGACGATCGGAGATGCGACACCAACGCGCTGTCATCCGCTCTGCAGTCATCTTCAAACGTGCCGTCGGTGTTTCGAGAGATCCAAGGCCCCTACAGCTTCGTATATTTTCAAAAGTCCACCAATCTTCTGTACTTTGGCAGAGACATCGTCGGCAGACACAGTTTACTTTTAAAAGCGAACAGCGACGAAAATACTCTGACGTTAACGTCCGTCGCGAGCAAAGAGGTAAACGAAATCGTAGAAATTCCCGCGATTGGAATTTTCGTCGTGAATTTAGACGATTCGAGAGTGAATCTCGCTTGTCATCCGTGGAAGGAGCCAGACTCGCGTTTCACCGACGTCGTCGAGTCGTTGGAGACACACTCAGGCGTGGATATCGACATCAGAGAAACTATATGGAGATCGGACGCATCCGCGAGACGTTTACACTCGGGTCCCGATGTCGGAGACTCGGATCGTTTGGAAAACAGTCCTTACTCGGGAAATTCGCGCAAAACGTTGGAATATCTGTTGGAAGACAAAGATACCGCGGAAAGAGTGGATCGTTTGTTGCGGCTTCTTCGGAAAGCCGTAGAGGTTAGAACAAAGAAACAGCCTAAATTTTGCAAAACGTGCATCGAATTTGTTCTGAGAGACGGGAAAGAAGTCGCGTGCGATCACTCGAAAATAGGTATATCATTCTCCGGCGGGTTGGACTCTGCCATTTTAGCCCTAATTGCCGATAAATACGCGTCGCAGTACGAACCCATCGACCTGATCAACGTAGCGTTCGAAAAGTCGGGGAACGCGCGCAACGACAAATCCAAGAAATCCAAGGAATCCAACAACGAGAAAGAAAGCACGGACGACCCGTACGACGACGTTCCCGATAGGAAAACCGGGAAACAAACGTTCCTAGAACTGTCAAAGATCCGCCCGAAACGGAAGTGGAATTTCGTGGAAGTACGTGGAAACGTAGCACACGTTTGGAACTATCCGTCGATTCTCGACGAACAGCAGTCGCAGCAACAGTTAATTCGCATCTATCGTTCCAGGTAAACATCAGTCGAGCAGAATTACAAGAATACCGTTCGTCGCGAATTTGCAACTTGCTGCATCCACTACGCACCGTGTTGGACGAGAGCTTGGGTTGCGCCGTGTGGTTCGCGAGTCGAGCGAAAGGCACGATTCGTTCGAGCGCGAACACGTACGAGTCCCCGTGCAGATCGCTGCTCTTAGGCACGGGCGCGGACGAATTATTCGGCGGATACACGAGACACCGAACGACACTGAGGCACAAGGGTTGGGACGCTTTAACGCAAGAATTGAACTTGGAAATGGCTAGAATCTCCGAAAGGAACTTGGGCCGCGACGATCGCATCGTGTCGGATCACGGAAGACAATCCAGACTGCCATACCTGGACGAAAACGTGATAGAGTACGTTCAAAGGTTAAAACCATGGGAAAGGTAAATTTCGACGGTAAAAACGAACGAACGAAC